ACTACATGCCGGAGCGAGGCTTTCTCTTCACTCTGCCACGATTAGCGATTCCCGATGACTGACAGCCAATGGCTGCTAACAGCCGGCTTAGAGATGAGGTTCAATTTGCACCAACAAATTGCAGCTGAGTTCCTTGCACCCTCTGCTATCATCCAGTGTAATGTGAGTCACACCAGGCAGATCCCTGAGCAGGATCCTTTCTCCTCCCCTGAACTATCAGCCCCCCCCCCCCCCCGCACAAAGCCACAGAGACCTCTTTCCACATCCCTCGCCACCAGTCCGGCCTCTAAAGTGGTGATGGGCATTACCGTGGCTGAGCCTCTGTGGCTTCCCAGAGCATCCTGCAAAGTGCTTTCTGTTCCAACTGCAGCTACATCGAAGACACACTAGCATACTTATAGCCCCCCCACACACACACACACACTCTGCTCCGACTCATATCTAATAAAACATACGGCAGAAAATAATACAAAATAAAACTTGATTATATCACCTTATTTCATAACATGATATTTCACTTGAATAAAAATCATTAAGTGAATACAAACGGAAGTCTTTTGAAGCGGGTATAGATGTAGCTGGTGTACAATTTATAACGGCACCATTCATACACACAAGCATTGGTGTAAAACGATATGTTTAGATCAAATATTTATTACTCAAAGAGCTATTTGTAGGAACCGGAAATGACAACAAACTGAGAATCCAAGATGCGGATAGTGATGCAAATAAATAGCACTCCAACAGGTCCGTTAAGGGTCTAAATATGCTGGGGAGGGGGGACAGTTAGCAAACCATGAGATGACAGATGATGCATCCTAGTACGCTGCTGGGACAGGCCGAGCCATGTTGACATAAAACCCAATACTTCCTTACCGAGGAACGGGGCCAGCTTCAGCTAGCTCCTTGCCGAGCACTAAAAATCCCAGCAAGCTGAAGCAATATTATCCGGCTTAATGTTTCTAACATTAGATTTGTCTCTCTGTAGAGGTCCTTTTTTTATTCACCCAGGAGAAGTTGCTAAAGACACATTTGTATCCTTTTTAGGGAGAATAAAAAGAAGAAAGAAAGAAAGGATAGGTGAAAGTATAGCACAAAGGAACGTACTCCCCGAGTCCAGAGCTGCTTCTGAATACTTTAGCAGGACTGAGGACACTCTTTAATTAACTGCAAAACTACCCGGGTGCATTGACAACACAAAGTACATCCTTTTTTTATTTATATTTTACTTCGGTGTGCGTATGAGCGTTCACAAAGTACCAGGCCACACGGGAGTGCCCTACAGAGAGTAAAACACACACTCGGTGAGCTAACACAGAAACCCAGCCGTCAGCATCTATCCGGCACACACTGCTGCAGAGTCCCAAGCACAGCTAATTAAAAAACAACAATTTCACAGGAGGGCACTCCAAACAGTTCTAAAAAGCACCTCTCAGCACACCGGGGGATCGTCCCGCATACACGGGAGGTGAGACAGGTTCTGGGAGCTCAGCTTTTTATGGCTTCATCACACTGGCTTTTTTCTACTACTCACACTACCGTGACCTGAATTTTAATTTTGCTTACGGCATGTGAATTAAGAAATGTAGAACAATCTCCATGCGGACTTGTTTGGATTCTAAAATAACATTTTACAAGACAGTAAAGCAAATACAAATAAAACAGGTGTGGAATGTGAGGTTTTTATGCATAATGTAGTTTAGTTAATGTTATGTTTTGTAGATGGAGCCCATGGCATTTTCTAACAAGCAGTCCATTACAGGGGTGTTGTCGAACACTTTGGTCCAATGATAGGCCTTATTACATGGCTCCTTTCAAAGCATCTGCTTGGTTAGAGGAAAGGTCTCCCTGAGGAAAGGATCTCCCTCCTCCTAATGATGTATAATTGACCTCCCAACACCAGGGCACAACAAACTCTCTCAGGGTGGTGTAATTCCACTCTACCTTTTACATACCGCCCGTCTCGTTGGAGCTTGTTCCTCCTCTACTGCTATGGCTCCCGTCCAACTGACAGCTCTGCCTATTTGCCTTCAAATCTATATGACTTGTTCTCAAATACTCTCAAAATACATTGAATTCTATTTCCCCCTATATAAAAAAAAACATTCCATTTTTTTTTATCCCTTAATCTTCAAACCATCTAAATGATTCCTTTTTGCAAATTCACATAACGACAGAGAGGATAAACAAAGGTCAGCTGCATGGGGGAAAAAAGCAGAAGACACTATAATCCAATCTTGTTACTATATAATTGCACTGTATGGAGCGAGATGCGTTAAACTGTGTTGGTGGGAGTTTTAATAACACAGTACACAATTGTTTCCCCTGTCTGCACTTAAACCTGTTCCAAAGGTGCGAAAAAAACACTGCTTGCCAATTCCTTGATTTATTATAGCTAGTGAGAGCTGATTACGGGGCATGAATCAGCTGCTGTAGGAATGTAATTAGGCACGGAGACCTCTGTAAGGGTAGGAGCTCTCCTCACAGCCCAGAGCAGTTTGTGGCCTGACAAATGCATCTTAAATGGGTGTCATAAAAGTCAAAAAGGTGCCAATTACATCTTTAAGTATCCCATCAATGCAAATGGAATAAACAAGAAAAAAGGGGATACTTGTGTCTGTGTGATGGAGAAATCCTGCAGCTAGCATTTAACCTGGGAGGGGTAGAAGAAGAAAAAATAAGTAGGGGGAAGGAGGGTGAAGAATTAAAAGATGTGATGAATAACAGTGTGTGAAGCAGGACGTCGCCCAGCAGGTTGTTGTGTTTGGCTGGCCTGATCGCACTTGCCACACACAAGCTCATATAGCATTTAAAATAAAGCAGAGAAAATGGTCAGTTATAAGCCAAATATGGCACAGTAAAAGCACATCAGAAATAGCAGGAAAGAGTGGAAGAAAAAAAGATCTCTGTATGTTTATGTCCTCTCTTTTCTAACTCCAAACTAATTAAAAAAGCAAACTACAAATGGAGAGAGCAGTAACAGGCATGAGGAAGAGATCCTTCCCTCTGCCGGACTGTCTCAGCTTCCAGCCACCTCTGAGCCGTGACGCCGAGGCTCTGGTATCCCATAGTTACTGCTATGAATTTTCCATTGTTATCAGCCGACTACACTCCTGTCACAAAGCTGGATGAATGGCACGCATGGCAATAGATGTAACTCTTTGTTGCGTGCAAGGTATCTAGCAGAGAGCCATAATGTCCCGGTAATCGAAGTAGAATTGTTAAAAAGGCCGGACACAAAAAGCTGAAAATGTAGTGACAAGCATGAAAAGCGCTCATGCAATGAGAAACACAAGGAACCCCAGGGCCCCTCAAGGGCCCAAACAGCAACCCTCAGCATTGTTGTTCTTTTACTTAGCCTCAATATTTGCCTCACTATATCTGCCATCTCTGCAGGTTTTATGTGATAATTTACTAATTCAATTGACTAATTTATGTTACTCCATGGCTAATGCCTAATGCTTCTCCATATTTAATTCATTGTTGTGATTTACTAAAAACAAAAATCACAAGGGTATAATTTCTACTTTATTGTTATTTATCTATAATTTATGGAATTATTATTTTCGTGACTGTATTAATAATGTTTTATTTATTGTGTTGAAATAGAAGAAAGGATCAAACTGACAATATTCACCTGAACACATTGCAATCATCACACTCCAGCAATTTAACACAAAATAAGTTTAATTTTCTTTAAATGTTTTCAAACTGTGAAACTTAAATTTAAAATTGAATTATGAATGCCTTCGAAGTTGTTGGAGTGTGTATGTGTGTTGAGGTCAGTCGCGCGTGCAAATTCCTAAACTTCCAATTGTTTTATTTTTTTTAAATTCTAAATAAATCCCCGTTTGCGTATTTTGCTCGCAGGTACATTTAACTTAAATGCAGTAAAAAGCGAAAACATTTTTTTTCATGAAGGCATTCAATTGTTGCCATGTCTTTTATGCCGCACGTAAAACAATCTCTTAAGCAATGAAATAAATAAGCCTGAAACACAAATAAAAAACAGCATGAAAGAAAATAAAAGAAAAAAAAGCCCAAAACCAAATGAAAAACACGATAAAATGACAACGGTAAAATAAGTTAAGCAAACTCAAAACAATTAGCATTCAAGGCAAATAAAGGCATCGGATTTTTATAATTTGGGTTTATGAAAAAATAAAAATCTAAAATACGCTGTAAGCACCATGAAAAAAAGAACATAAATTAAGTTTCCATATTTTGAAAGAATAGAAAACGGATGATGGTGATGGGGGAAGGCCACAGAGGCTAATGCAACCAGGAAATACCGGACTGAGGGCGGAATAAGAAAATACACACCCGAGAATGAACGCCTGCACATTCTCGGGCCTGAGTGGGATCACATCGTTTTGTTAGAAATATGCTCGTTGCGCAGACACAAATGTGGAAATATCGTGGGCCAATATGACAATAAGAAAGCATGACGTTAGTTCATGACCGGTAATGCCGAACGTCCTCCAGCCATGCAGCGTGCAGCAGACATTTCCATGTCACACTTATTATTCAAAGGGTAGAACAAAAAAAATAAGAGAAAGCTCAGATTGAATTTCACTTATTTACTGTGACTCTTATTTTTAGGATTTTACAGGAAACTTATATTTAACTCCGGCATAAGAAGCAATGTCAACAGGTTATTTATATCATACTTCCATATTGGTAGACATTTTTGTTTTACACCATTACATCTTGTAAAAATAATATGACTTCACACTGCATTTTTGCAATGTGAATGACCCACAAGGCCTCCAGGTTAACCAACTAAATCACGTTGTTATGGGGGGATTTTTGTTTGTTTTAAATCACTGCACAACAACCAAAGCAATCTGAAGAAATGCAGACAGGAACAGCATGAGATTGTGCTTACTGTTGGTAGTCGTGTTTGCAGTAAAGTTTCCTTTCTCTGAAGTAACAGCTGGTGGTGAGGGGCTGTTGACACACGGTGCACTGCAAACACTCCTCGTGCCATGAGGAATCGTTGACTCTCATCAGGAAGCGGTCAGAGATGGGACGCTGGCACCCTTCACACACGGAGGGATGGTGACAGTCAGTCCCTGAAAAAACGGAAGAGGAGTTTGAGGCCCGTCAGAAAACAGAGAAGGCCTGAGTCAAGGACTGTCATTTCGCGATAAAACTCCATAAAGACTGCGTATAAAGAAATAAACTGGGATGTATGGTGTCGTATCAAATTAAAAAGCTGAATTTATTGGATACATTTGAATTGTCTTACCAATAAGGGTGCATATCACAAAACTACTCCAGCCTCTAGATGTCTTTTATAATTCAATTAAAATAAAACTACAACTTGTTCATCATTATCTGTAGTTTTATCCTTTGGCATGCGTAAAAACTAACTTTTCATGATGTCGGGAAACAAAACAGCAGTGGGCATTCATCGTAATGGCATCCAGACAGTAATAACAGTGTTGCGTTTCACTCTGCATAATTCAGAGTGATTTGCTGAAGTTTAATCAGAGGAAATAAGACTCACCGAGCATGACTCCGAGCGTGGCTTGTCCCGATCGCAGGGGATGATCTTCAATTTTTATGCCGTCCAGCATGATGCACGTCTCGGGCGGTTGTCGCGCGGAGAGGCGCTCCAGTGACACCAGACCTGTTGCAATATGATCCATAAGAATACGGTCAGACCTGACAAGAGAAATCCCGGGAACACAAAGCTGTCTGCAGGCACAGAGAAGACGGTGTGGGCTGAAACTTGTTGAAACCGCCTGAGTTTCCGTGTGACACTCAGCTCGGTGGAGGAAAAACTAGAAAAGGAGCTTATGAAATGCAAAAACTCGACTGAGATGCTCGCATTAGTTAAAAAGGTGGAGGAAGCGCACAGAAATCCCCGATGTGTCAAAAGAAGCGTGGAGAGACAGAAAGGACACACTTAACGTGGATAAAAACTCTCGACAGTCACCTGTTATGATCAGAGGACTGAGGAAGCTTTATCTGCTCGCCCTCAAGCCGACGGGAGAAAGGAAGCTGCACAATGTCTTCACGGGATAACAGTTTAGTTCAAGGCGGAAAGAAGAAGCAACCAAACTTGACAACAAATCCAAAAATAGGAGAGTGTGTATGTAGATGTCCCGGCTGTAACTCTTTGGAAGCAACAGAGGCGGTTGGCTGGTTGTGCCCTGTCGCTGCAAAAGTCTGAGATCGAGATTGAAGCGAGTGGATCCTCCCACTCCTGCATGCATGGCTACACTTTTTTCATTCCCCCATTCACTGCCATTGGGATGCTATTGGAGAAGAGTACAGTGCGCTGCACACAGTCCAATAACAACACACACATGGAGAGAAGCGTAAAAGAAAGAGCAGAGAGAGAAAACTGATATTGTATACAGGTTTTGGCTCCACATCAAAGCCACAAAGCAATTAAACATGGTAATACAAATAACAAAAAGCAACAACTTATAATAACAACACACATAGAATGATTTATTAAGCGAAATGTTCCATTGTAATACTGTAATGGGATGTGATTATTTAGCCAACAATTCACTTAAAACAAATATTGAATTTAGAGGATTTACCTTGTATATTCATCATGAATTAATGGTTATATTTCCGCCACATTGTGACAAACACAGATCGGCATCACATGCCCTGCTTGCTCTTTTGTGTATTGTTTCCTGTGAAGGCTGCTGTCCCTTTCAGACGGTGCACCTGGCGATCAGCGGTGATAACAGCACGAGCCAGGGCCATCCATCTTTAGGGCAGGAACAAGCATTAATAATAGTATTACAAACTATTATAGTGATACAAAAAATAATTATAACATCAACAGGCTTTTGCTGTATTTATTTTCGTAGGATACCCGGCAACTGGCTATATATTTTATTATGTTGGGAATTTCAAATAAACCTAATGCAAATACAATACAAACACAAGAATAATTTATGTAAGATGTTCATATTTATAAACAAACATTTAAAAATGTATACATATAATTTATCGGTCTTGGAGGTTTAATATATGCATTTTCTAGACGTTTTTAAAGGTGCGGAGGAGAGGTGCACTGAGGCCTGTGTGATATCACATCCGTGCGATGCTGCATGAGAGACACATTGTTATTAAAATATATATAAATAGCTAGACCGAGGGATGGACACCTCGAAGACGGGACATATGAACACAGAAAGCAGTATGATCAGATCACCTCATAACCTTTATTTTAATTCGAATACAATAACCTGCGGCCCAGTTAAAGACAAACGACAGCAACAGTAATTATCCTAATAATAAAAACACATATTATCAATATTAAATATTATAACAAGATGCTGGAAACGATATCAAGAACATTCTTAGTTTATAGTTATTGTAAGACAGACTTTTGAAAGGAATACAAAAATAAATGTATTTCATTTTCTTCAGAATTATCCAAAGTGTCTGCGCAGCGTTTACCTCCAAGCCATGGGCCTTTCTGTTGTTCTTGATGTCCTCTGTGGAGCATCCGGGCGATGACCTGTAGCCCAGTTTGGAAAACACACAGCAGACTGTTGGCGTTGCCCTCTGCCGTTCACACAGAGAATAGCTGAGGGTATCTAAAAGATACAGAGGAGTCATATTTTCACCTCACCTTTTTAGAATTATATTACTATCACATAAACGCTCAAAGCCTATATAAATAGAGAATAAATATTGAATTTATGTATTTTCTTTCATTAAAAGAAACACTGTTCTGGTAAAATCAGTCCATACCTGCCAGTCATGAAGTCATCCAACCCCGGCTTAGCTGTTTTTCTTCTATTTCCAGCACTTCTATCAGCATGGGGTCAATTACCTCCGCCAAGCACTATATTGGATTATCTTCCCACTAAGAAGCATTACGAGCTGAACACTATCAATACAAAATAATCAATACACTTTTATAAACATATTATGAAGCTCGTTTCCCCCCTGTTCTCCTCCCTTCCCCCGTTCATTGTGCAGTTTTCAGCAGGGTCACTGATGTGAATGAGGACATCAAACATTCATTCAATAAATCAATCCGCCAACTTTTAGCCGGCGGTGTTTTAATGAGCCTCTACATGACAGGCCCTCCCTCGCCTGACAAACGTTGCAGCAGGTGTGCAGTACCGAAAGCAATGGTCTGCAAAAGTTAACCAATTTACTTTAAAGTAACCAGAACTGTTGCATCCATCGGAAAGGTAAGAGACCATTATAATGCGCCATTATGGCAATGCACATTCCTGCAACAGGCTGTGATTTAGATTAGTTTCCATAGTGAGTGTGTTTACTCTCGATATTAGGACAGAAATATGAGGTTTTAAATGCAAAAAAAAGTAAATTATTTCGGAAAAGCGAGAATATGATGCTGCATTTGAGCGTAAATTATAATCGGATTTTACTAAATCAGTAGTGTATGCTAAATTGCAAAAAGAAAACGAAGGCATCTATCAGTAATGCCTATAGCTATTCATGTTTTAACACAAGTAATTCGCCATTATTAATAAATGTAGGCCTGTTGTGAAAAAATAAATAATTATACAACTGAAACTAAATATATTACAACGATGAATACATCCAATTATTAAATGGATTCGTTACTTTTAAATCTCAACCGAACAAACGCATCAATCAAATTGAATGATGTGTATAAACATAGACAATCTTTCAACTTTAATTACATTAACATCACGCTGTTTATAAGCCACGCAGGATCCATTCATTCTCCAACCCAGAGAACAACTCACTGTCAGGCCTCCAACACGCCCGCAGGCTATAATCAATGCATTGCAAAAATAAATAAATACAAATCAAAGAAAATAATTATTCTTAACATAAATCCAAAATATTTCAAATGAAATATGTGGAATTTAATTATCACTGAATATATGCCATTTATTTCTTTGTTGTTGCTTGAGCTGAAATAAGCGTTTTCTTTTAAATGAGCGAAAAATATAAGCATTTTTAAAATATACCAGTGAAAATGGGAAGAACTCTTAACATCCTCAAAGGAGAAACTGAGCAAAGACATACTGGCTCCCTAAATTGCATGGCAGGAGGACTTTGATAGTTAACTGACTTTGATCTTTTAATGAGTGTTTCTAAACTCTCCATGATGCTTGTTTTAAAGCTCGAATGAAAGAAAGGAAAAATCCAGGCTCCTTTCATTTGTTTGCCGAGTTGCACTTGAGCATCTTAAAAAACAAGAGAGCAGTTTCTCATGCTACATTTAACGAATGGAGAGGAAGTGGTGTTTATTATTCTGCTCTTATCCTGCACATATCGTTTGTGTAAAAAGAGCTTTCCTCATGAAGTCATCGGAGCCGCTAACCGATCCGGGATCAGCAGTGACGCTTATTGAAGGTTTGGACGTCGGCTATTTGCGAGAAATTAACTGTAATGTTATCTTTTTTTTTTCTTTTTTCTAAGTGTTAATGTTTTCTGCACAGTTGCTTTCCTATCTTTAAAACTGAATATTGTTATACAAACTGTGATTTCACACAGGAAGCAAACGCGGTGCACTGCTGTAATAACACATGGGATGAGATGCAGGGCCCCACAGGCCTAAGGGTCCCTGAATACCAAAGTAGCCTACAACAACTGGTTTGGATTTTTAATTTAAATCACAAATATGGTCCATCTAATTATGTACATTTTTAAGCGTTATTTATATATTTGAATGATCTTGAATGCACATATGCACACAAGATAAACATTTGTTTGGACATCTCATCCCCTTCTTTGCTCTCACTCACATATTTCTGCTTTTATTCGCTTGGACCACACGGCCCATTTTACCGACACAGCCAAAAAAAATGATACTGCAGGATAATCCCAACTCCCCCAGGATTAGGCCAAAGTATAATACAGCACTGTCAACCCATGGCTAGATTTGTTTATGTTATGATTTATTGGATTCAGCTCCCTTTTTCCCCCCCACTGACAAATTTATTGAGTTCCTGACAGATAGCCTGACAGAGCCCTGTGTGACAGCGAGCTGACATACAAGTTTGAAATGTGAGTCTGAGAACTCTGTTTACCTTTATTTATGGAGTTTTTTTAAAGACACAAAGCAAAACTGAACTGTAATTTAATTTACAAGAGATTTAATAATAGAGCCCAGACTATAAACACTTAAAACAGTTAAATTCAGCCTCAACCTGTAGTAGCCTACTGATATGATCACTGTTTTAAATAATTATGACAAATCAATAATTATGAATTGGAAATCATCTAAATGTACAAAAAACAACAACCGTTATAGATTTAATCAATTGAATGTTATTTATTGAAAGTTGAGTTGCTATGTTTGAAATAGGGTAAATAATAAATGTAATCTGATAGATTGACTTCTAAGTGTTTTTCTTTCTATTGTATCTCAAGAAAATACCTTAATAATCCCTAAGAATCACAAAGGAAAGCACATGTTTAAAGCCCTCCATCTCCTGTTTGTGAAATATATTTAAAACGAATCCCTCAATTGTATAAAGTGCTTTGATAATAATAAAAGAAAGAAGGAATAATAATCATAACCATTTCATGAAAATCTGGTCAAAAGTAAAACTGGTTAAAAGGCATTTTCTTCTAAAAGTAGCCTATTCCATTTTCTGGCCATTTTAGAAAGTCTCATCATCCACATACTCTTAACAACACACTCTCCGTGAGACAGTGATCCGGGAGTCAGTCAGATTAATGCTCCTGCTCCCCTGACTAATCTAAACACAGTAACTTCAGTTGTTTGCGGATGTTACCCGAAACAGCGAAAACCCACTATCTGAATTACAATATCACCCCCTGCTGGACAAACCCAGGCAGTACAAATCACTCCAATAACTTCTGTTATAACTTAACAATACCACAAAATAAAGAAATACAATTGTGTAAAGAATGGAGAGATGGACTACTACTGTAAATGATATACATACATTATTAAACAAATTAGCATTACTCTATTCTTTCAATTATTACCATGTTGCTAGTGTTTGTCAAACTTTCAACTCAATACTGGATTTGTTTTTAATAATATACATTATGTTAAAGGAGGTAAATGTTTGTCAAAATATGCTCTCTTATAATAAAGTAATAATCCAATATGATCAGAACAAAAATAATTTCAGTATTTTTTTCATTCTTTATCTCAGACACTATAACATACATGCAGGAATTCACATCATTTGTATTA